CGCGTGTATTTTCTTCTTTTATTCACGTAATCACTGGCAGTGTTTGTTTTGTCGCGTCTCACAACTTAATGTCCAAGCTGACTTTGTTTTGGCTGTAAGTGAACTACGTACAGCTCATGGAAGTATTTTGCCTAGAGTTCGCAAAACGGAATACCCTGCAAAATTTGAATCCTTTATTTTATAACGAGACATTGGGCGCAAAAATAAAAACCATAATTGTAATTCAACAAGTTTATCTAACGTGTTAGTCCGCTTGCCAGCCACCTAGTTAATAAAACGCGATCACCATTGATGTCGGCTTCGACAACTTCGGACAAGTAAGATGGGCGCTGGCTGACATTACATTTGCAAGTATTGTATTTGTTTGACAAATTGTACACTACGGTCATTCTATAACAATCGATACTATACTATTCCTGCAGATATTTTTCAATTGTTATAGGTGCCATGGATTTACATATACTACAACTTGACCCGTGTTAAATCCAAACCATGCATGCATGACAACCGTCGCCCTACACACGGTTACTCAATGAATACCGTACTCTACAGTAGACATTTTTCGCTCTCCACCAAAAATAGAATGGTTTTATTTCATATTAGTTGTGCCTGTGTCAGTGCTGTATTTGATTTCCCATGCTTGGTTCGATCTTGTTTATGGTGGACATTATTACTACGCGTATGTATTATTACCAATTTTATATGGCAGTGTGATCCACCGTATTTTTTCAACGGTCGTTCTATAAATTTCTGATTGTATTTATTTATTTTTTAACATCATAAAAACAAAAATGATACACTTGTACATGAAACAGTAGGTAATGACCTGTAAATGCGGGCGGTTGCGCTGTCAGGCGAGCGAGCGAGTGGATACTTCGGATTTACGCGGTCTAAAAAAAGCGGAAATTGTCTGGTCAAATTGAAAAAAGCGAGCAAAAAAAAGCGAAGCCGGAAGCGGGCGGGCGGGAGGTTGGGCGAAATGAGTACTGTATGTAGGTACCTTGAATGAACTTCTATTATAATAGTTCCTATTGTGACATTAGTGGAACACTCAAGGATGAAACAGCAGAGCTATTTAGATTGTACTGTATATATTGATCATGGAATGGTACCGCACAAATTACACTTGGATTGTACTGTATATATTGATCAGGGAATGGTACCACACAAATTACACTTGGATTGTACTGTATATATTGATCAGGGAATGGAAATTTGCTGTGGGACCGCTAAGTTTAGTTCTTGACAATTCAAAAATTTATAGTTAATGTGCAGTGATTTGAAAATTGCATTTAAACGTCATCATGTGGTGTTAGTCCACATTCCTTCCATAATAATTGCATTATATTGGCATGGTTAGTGTGCCATACAATTGCCCCTGTATCTTCTGTCCCTCAGCTCTGTGGATTTGTTTTTATATTTTACAGATCAAATCAATAAATGAACTCTTTATATGGTGTGGATCTTACTAAACAGGAATGGTTGTTTCACAGTGTAGTGTCTCCAGTGTCATATCTTGTAGTCTTGCCATTCAATAGATTTGATCTAGTGAACCTGTTCTAGTATGTCATTGTCCTTTGTATGAACTGCAACCTCAGTCAGTTATGCAATCTAATCCCATTTATTGGCATTTTTCAATATGGATTTGAACTGTTCGGTTGTTTTTATCAAGATTTGAAACATACTTAATATTCTTTTGTGTTCTTTGTGTAAATTTTCGTATTTTTGTATTCATTGTGGAGATTAATTTCAGCATGCATGATGTGCACTTTAAAAACCCAACCACGTAATTATTTATTGGCTCTGAATCTTCTGACAGTTAATTGTTTGGTTCTCCAAAATGTCAGTCTTAGATTTCTAGCGTCTGTGTGCAAAAACAAAAATGGAGATGAGTTTGTTGTGTGTGTGTGTGTGTGTAAGCAAATCCTCAAACATAGTACATACATGGAGGTAATGTGCAGATATGAATATGTTTCTTTCTGTGCATATTAAGTAGTTAATTTGTATATAGATTTTCTCATTTCAGCCTGTGTAAATAAAATCTCAAACATTCTCAAAGATTTTGTGCATAGGACAGTTTTAGGGTCATGTTTTTATGCATACTGAATAGCTTAATTCATATCAATTTTTTTATTTCAGCCTAGTATAGTTAAATTTGGGTGATTTTGTAGACTTTATTAGAAAGAGAATAATGATCTAGTTGGATCTAATTATCTTGAACCCACTAGTATACCAATTTTAATAGGCTTACATGTACAGTAATAATCCATGTTATGTTAATTTTTTAGCTTTTTCACTGATATCTCAAGTACTAATCATCACATATCAATGAAACTTGGTACATAGATGCTATATTACAATAGACAGACCTGATTAGTTTTGCGTTAAAATCTGTACTTATTAATTCCCTTATTATCATAATTCATAATTTGTTGCTTCTAATCACATTTCAATGAAACTTTACATAGATGGTCTGTTACATTGCGCAGACCTTATTAGTTTTATACTCAAATCTGTTTATATTAATTTTCTGATTTGCATAATTAGTTTTCATCTATTTCTAAATAATGAAACTATTTTTACCTTTGTGTCTTTCTGAATGTCTTTCACTTATTTTTCATTCATACACAATTGCCCGGAAGTCTTGTACCAGCATATTTATTTTAAATGTCATGAATCGTAGCTTTTACCAGTCATAAGAAAGTTATTATTTGAAGAGTACACCTCTTGATAATGGGGGAATTATGTCCACCTGCTCCAAAATTTATCAAGAATTTGTTGAATTAATAAAAATCTTTAATAAAATGGTTAAACATTACATGTATTGTCTTCATTGGCTTGCCTGTAGTGAAGTGAAGGGAAAGTCATAGTTGTAGCAAAATGTCTGCTGTCCAATGTTTTCATTTTAAATTTTTTTTTGACACAGTAAATCCAATAATATTTAGCTACAGAGAATGGAACAAAATATGTTGAAATGTCCAAACTGTCTGATTACTGCAAATAAAAATCTTTAAGTAATACTCAAACGTTTTTAGGTTTGTATAAATATATCAATAGTTTTAGGTTTTAAAAAGGCTTTCATTTTATGTATTAATATATCTGCTGGCTTGTGTATGTTTAATTTGCAATTTCTTGAAAAGAAACTTAAAACAAAATATTTGGGATATTACAAGCAATTGTTCTGCCTCAAGAAAAAGTTCTTCTTTACAGATACTTGTTCTGTCACTAATATCAACTTCTCCGTTCACCACATAAAATAGTTTAGGGATCGAAATACTCTGGTGCACACTGCACTATGCACATAGATTATTAGCTAGTGCAAGTAAACTCAAAATTTAATGTGCACACTGTGCATGTAGAAATTAACACAACAATTTCTCATTATATTCACTAAGGCTAAATTAAGTTCAACCAACATTGTAAGACAACTAAAAAAAGCAAATTCTTTCGTGATCGCATCAATCGAGAACCAGTCAATTTTATTTAAACTTTAAAAAGTGGTGCATTTCACAACAAGTTGGTGCAGGTAAATTTCAAATTTAACATGCACACTGTGCATGCAGGGAAAAAATTCTATTTCAATCCCTGTAGTTGTAAATTATATTCAAATTTCCCTTGCCAGAAGAGACATAGGGAAATATATTATAAGACTGTTTTTAAGTATCTAGTATACCAGCTGGCAAGTTATCCAAATTGACCCCAGACCACTTGTCAGTATCACCTCAGATTATACAGTGGTGGGATTTATAAGCCTTTTCAAGTTTTTTCATATGGAAAATGTACTGATGTTGCACACATTCTGTCTGTTATAAACTAATCAGTTAACTGTTCGTATTGTACAGTGCGAGTCTTTGTTTTTTAGCTCCGCTGTCCTGAGAGGATCGAGTGGACCTCATTGGTTGACAAAACTTGTTGTTGTCCGCCCGTTTTACGTCATCTGTCAACTTTTTTCATTCAAATGACTTCTTCTCTAAAACCTTCAGCTGGATTGCCTTGCTATTGACAGCACACGTCCTTTGTCAGATTTATTCATTTCATGCCATTATATGTAAACAGTGTTGTTGGCCAGTATTGTCGAGAATTGATGTTGTAGGTGAGGCTTCTCTAAGTCTAAAATAAAAAACTTGTAATTAAAACGCAATTGCATTGTAATTCAGTTTAATTAAAATCCAATTAAAACACAACCCTATATAGGAACGTGTTTTAATCAAGTTCATATCACAACTATATAAAAAGTCAATTCAACTACATTAAAAGTTAATCCAATGTGCGTCATCACAAGGATGGTATGAGATGAATGTGCGTGTCCCTAGCATCCTAGTGTGTTCTATTCATTTGCATACAAGTGTCATTCTCTTAACTTGCGTTGCAGTCCCATTATCGGTTGTGATTAAAGGAATAACTTATTTCTGGGCACCAATGTATTTATGGTTATGGACACATTGGCAACATCTTAACTAAATTGTTAGTTAGTAATATCAGTGGTTTTAAGGCATCTTGGCAGTACTTGTCATTGTAGTTCTCTCGTACCACTGGTTATCTGAGGGTGAAAAATAATTCAACTATTCAATATTGTTCTCAAATTTTTTTTTTTTTTTTTTTTCCCCTTCAACTCAACATGTTCTTATGAATGAGTTTGTCTTTCTCTATAGCAGGCCCGAACTCATCAACTGGTGATGCCCCCCACTGATACTGTGATACATGCAGTTGCAGCTTATGTGCGGAATCTTCCAAGTGTTGATGATCTAGATGCTATTGCTCGTGACGTTTTCCAGAATTCTCAATTTTCCTTGGAAGATAAAATCACTCGTTTCAAACAATGTGTCCATTATTATTACGCTGGAACAAGACAATTCTGGAAACAGAAGAGAAGTAAGCTTGCATGGATATCTTAGTTTTTACTAGAAAATATAAATGAGATGTTGAAGTATTTTAAGTAAGCAGGAATATGCAAATACTTTACTATACCAGCTTTATCAGCGATATTTTTGTAGGTTTTTTTTAGCTCCGCTGTGTGGATGAAGTCGAGTGGAGCTTATAGTATTAATGATTGTCAGTAAGTGTCCATCGGCATCGTCAACTTTACGTTTTAGACTTCTTCTTAAAAACTACAAACTGTATAGCTGTGAAACTTTCTAGGAAGGTACCTTGGGTGGTTCTCTCTCAGATTTGTTCATTTCGTGTGGATATGTTCAAGTGTCTTATTTATGGCGAATATTTTTGGTCAAAAATGCTGTTTTCGACTTCTTGAAAACCGCTAGCCCAAATGCTATAATAGTTTGTATGTATGTATTTTGGGTGGACCTCTCTCAGATTTGTTCATTTGGTGATGATGTCTTCAATTTTCCAATTTTGATGAATATTTTTGTCATTTTTGGTAAGAAATTATATTTTCGACTGCTTCTTGGAAACTGCTTGTCCAATTTCTTTGATATTGTATATGTAGGTATATCAGGTGGACCTCTGTCAAGTTTGTTGATTTTGTGACAATATCTTCAATTCTCTACTTTTAGTGAAATATTCTCTGGAACAAAATCAAGAAAGTTGGTGTCTTGCGATATTAAAGCAGCTTGCATTAAGTTTAAATTGCTTCTTAGTCATTGCTTTCAGAGCATGCATCACAAGCAGCTGCTAGTTTTCTCGTTATATGCAGTGAAATTAGACAAAATTTGACTTATAACATTAAGGTATCCAAATATATTTTTGTGAGATATTTCCAAGAGATATGTGAAAAGTCGCAAATGCCCCTCCAACACGCAATCACTCTATTCAGAGTATCAGCCGGGAAACTCTTGATGATTGATAATGTCATTTCAGATGCCAGGCCTCCAATGATGGCATTTACACCAGGGGGTGTATATTACAGGGATCCAGAAGAGACTGGTTACAGAGATCCAGCAGAAACCCAGGTATGGTTATACCTAAAGTCAATATCCCAAGTTTACTCCTTGGAATACTAAATTGTCTGCACAGACTTGACCAACACTCAATGAGGGCTGAACATAAAAATAGCTACAGTACTGATTTCTATTTTATTATTTAACTGAAATGAGTAAATCTAATTTTTGCGATAACATAGTGGATGAAATTGGGATTTAATGTCTCAGGTAAAATGTATGGTTATACAGTTATGATTGTCAATTTGTTTTTTAGGGTTGGCAGCCACCATTCAGTGAAATTACAGGTGCCAATGCTATGGGTATACCACCACAGCCACCAGTACCGCCAAAACAGCAGCTGTCATCGGCACCCCAGATTGTAGTACAACCGCCTGAACAGACTCGGACCAACCTGGAAAGTGCTTTTGAGTCTGAGATGGAAACTCGCATAGAAGAAGACTTAGAGAAACACATGGATGATTTGACACTGAAAAGCATTGATGATGATTGTATGAATGCTAATGATACATCTGATCAAGAAAGAACAGTTAGTGCTTTGGAAAACCAACCACCACAGTCTGTTCCAGCGTATAGTGGTGAAGTAGAGAAAACAATACAAGGGTATGTTTCCTGTCTGGGTGATCTCAATAATATCTATCACCATATTTGCTATATTAGAAGCGCACATACAGTGACAATTCAATTTAGTTTGCTTTCTTGGCAAATAAGGTATTGCCCTTGAAATACAATTTGACATATTTTGTATACGACTTATGACATGTAGTTTGTGTTTACATTTAGTGTGGATCAGCTTTCATCCTCTGACACCAGCAGTACAACCAGCACAAGTAGTAATGGTACATCAGGTAGTGAACGCATCATGCACGCTGGATGGAGTGACCAATCAGTACAACATGTACCCATGCAAACACCACCACACAGTCCTCAGGTTTGAATTCAATAAACATTGTATTTTGAAATTGTGTGTTTATGACTTGTTGTTCATCTCAACTTCTACAGTAACAGCAGTACTGTTAAAATTGTAGATGTGCACATGTTCTTGTACTCTGCTTGATCTGTCTACATCATATGCACTACACCATTCAAAAAATGGTTGTGGTTGCAACTATAGTACTTTGTTACTATGACTAACCATGACACACAATTTTGATAACTTTATGAACTTATTAGCTTGCATGTAAACATTCATTGTTAGCCCCTTGTATGCACATGCACAGTTATGTATGACCTAAAAAGAAGTACAGTATGCGAGTACCAAGATGCAAGTAGCAAGGAGAAAAATGGCATATGCCGGGAGTAAAATGTATAACTTTTGAGTGACGAAAACACCCAGGAAAACAGGCATATGTGAGGGTGAAATGAGTAATTTGCTACAGGTGTTGAAATCAACAGAGTGGGTGGTCAGTGCGAGTAGCACTTGTGCAAAATCTTGTGGTGAAATGGTACTAGATCCACTGCTGAAAGGGCACTGGTACTAGTGAGATTGTACACAATATGAGGGTATCGTTATTGCACCATCAACGACGTATTGTGTTATTGTTGCACTAAGTGATTATTGCCTGGTAAATGTTGCATTACGATGACAGTTACCTTTTAAACTGTGCCATCCTGCACAGGAAAAACTGTGTTGATTGTGCACTGTATTGGATAGTGCTTACTATCATGTGTAATTACAATAAACTCAACAACCACATTGTCACTAATTGTTTTCTTCTGACAGAGTGCCTCATCCACACCAGGAAGTCATTCATCAAGCTCTGGAAGCTCTACGACCAGTATTCCGTCCCTCATGTCACAGCCAATACCACCCTGTATGGTAGTCAGTGTGCCTAAACTGCCAATGGTATCTTCAGATGTCCTTAGGATAGCTCGTCATCGTCATCAAGAAGGACTGATGATGTCTCAGCTCTTCCAAGTACTACAACATGTAAGTGGAAATGTTTTATAAGCAAGGACAAGTTTGTTTCACTATTGCCTTGTATTCGCTAGAAGTTTAAATACTGGCTCTAAGTTGAAGTAAAATGCAAATAAATTTGTTGTGAATATGTAGATATGTGAACAGATAGTTTACATGTTTGTTTCCAGGGTGAGATTAAGATACCCTGCTCACTTGAGGATGAAACCAGTCGAGAGCTTCCTTCATCAGCCTTATTATTCCGACTCATCCGTCAGTATGTGTACGGCATACTGTTTAGTGTACAGCATCTCAATGACAGGAAGAAAAGACAACAAAAACGTAAGTATTATCTCAGCATGACTGTTTGAGTGACTGGTTTCAAACCTTTATGCTTGAGGCTACTCATTTGATATTTGGCCCATCATTTATTCCAGAACCCCTAATTGTATAGCTCCTGTTTGTTCCCTTAGTTTCAATGACCAATACTCATTTACATTGTTGGTGTTCATGTTACCAATCATGACGCATGCTTGAATGTGAGTGGTCTGGACAGAGTTACACCTTGCCAACAAATCTTAGTTCCAAAGGAGTCAAGATTGAAACTTGGCATGTACCAACTGCCTGAATGCTCTTCACAAACCGAAATCTGCTGCCTTACTTGGCACAAACCACATCCTTGTTATTGAACTAAAGAGAACTTGTACTAATTAATATGAATTAGTAGCAGTAGGGGATAGTGTAGCAAGCTTTTGCAAAGATATTACTGTACTTGGCGCCACCCTCCACTTTTTGGTCATTTCGCTAAGTGCCCATCCCATTCAAAATGGTTTGCATCAAAAGTTTTACAATCAAGCACATGTACATTGTCTGTGTTCCCACACACCCTTACAATTTTAACATCGTAAATATTGAAATAAAATGTGCAAATTTTTTTTGACCATTCATTATTCATTGTAAAAGTGTTATGGAAATCAATGACAACACAATTTTATTTTCCACAAAGAGACATACAGTAAAATCTGTATTAGATGTTGCATCCCAAATAGAAGTCACATCCCATTCTTTTTGAAAAATTGAGAAACAAAAAATCACAATTTCTCATATGTGTAGATTCTCTAATAGAAACCCCATCCTCTCTGTTGCATTGTACCATTTTAATAAAATATTTAATAAAATATAGATTTTTCAGTTACTGTAATATTACCTTCAATCTGGCACATTGTCGTTTTCATACACCCCTCTAAAACGCATGGATTTTGGGGCTGAGTAGCGTGGGTGCAGTAGTATATGGAAAGAAGTTCAGCTCAACATTCAGGTGTATCAGATTGCGATTTCGGCACAAGCGTAGGTCATGATGAACGTGATTTCGGCACAAGCGTAGGTCATGATGAACGTGATTGCGGCACAAGCGTAGGTCATGATGAACGTGATTGCGGCACAAGCGTAGGTCATGATGAACGTGATTGCGGCACAAGAGTAGGTCATGATGAACGTGAATGTTAAATGCATTGGTTACCATATATTAACAGGTAATATGTTGTATATGCATTCAAAGTGTTATTTTAAATTTACAAAACAACTTCCGAGTATTAATGAACTCGTCGTTGGCGAGAAGGCTCAACACGCTGCAGTTTCACAACAGTTTTGGGACAAACTAAAAGTTGTTTTTACATTGCTGGTGCATTATGTATCAAATTCAGATTTTATGCCGAGGTGGGAGAGTACGTCAGGGATACACAGACGGAAAACTTGATTATAATGGTTTGATGGACTTTGTCAAATCAAAAGTGCCTTCCTTGATCGAATCCCTTTTTCAACTGCAGTATGAAAATGACAGTGTATATAACGACCAATATTATTAACAGGTACAACTGACTAAAATGAGCGAGGGGTTGACATTTTCCGACAGATTTAAGCAACACCAAACTTGTGATTTTCAAAATTACTGAAAATAATTACAATATAATTAGGAAAAATAAAGAATGGTTGCTGTAAACGCACGCTAGATAATACTTTCAATTCACCAAGCCGACAATTCCTATGATATAGTAATCCCAAACCACGCCCCCATCACTCAAGTGGCGCCGATAAGTCTAGATTAGGCAAAGACCAAAGTGTTTTGCAAAGTTGCGAGTAATTTTGCTAACTGACTGTCCAAATAATTTACAGAACGGCTGTAATGGTCCACAACTAATAATATTGTTTTTTTTAGCTACCAAGTATAGAAGACAGGTGATAGTAAAAGAGTGGTGTGTTCGTAAAGACAGTTCAATCCAGAAACCTGACCTTGTAGAGGCTGTAGCCCTTCCCTGGCCTATCCCGCCATGCAGACAGTTATGGCTTGGTAAATCATTACAAGATAAGAATATCCGTACTCGTGCCTTTCTGTCATGCATGCTTAGTGACACGCCTGGTATGATGAAGAATTCATATGTGCCAAGACATGCAATTATACTTTGTACTGTTCTAAGGTAAGTTGAAGAACTTCTAATTACCATACTCGACCGCGTCAGCACCCAGGGGCCTCAACTCAGAAACTCGTGATTTTTTTTAGGGGTGAGCGCTTAGCCGAGCACCCCCCTCGAAAAAGAGTGCAAATGAAAATTTTGATTCATCAAGTGACAGGTTACGTCTTTGAGGGAAAATCAAATTACGAAATTAGTTGAGTCGTCATTGATTTTCACAATGAAGAAACGGAAATGATCACAAAAAATATGCACATTTTATTACAATTATATTAATTCGTACCACCAGAATTTACGAAATTAAAAAATTGCGCAAAAGTGGGGGGGTGGGCGCTTGCCTGGCAGGGGTGCTAACGCGGTTGAGTACAGAACTGTACTGGCCTTTGTCAACCTCGCCTTTCTGAGACATGTCCACCTGGCCATTTCCAACACTGTCTACTTGTCTTTCTTGGCATGTTTTCTCTGACCCATGAAACCATTTTTCTTGCAGGTACATGTTACAGTCTAAATATCCTGTTTTAAGACGTCATGAACTTGATGCTTTCCTAGCACAGAGTGTTTCACCCATGTTGAACGATCCAAATGCACTACAAGATTTACAGGTAAACTATTTCTTCTGATGTACATACCAACCTTATCATTGTTGAATTCACGTCTTATAAACAATATTATTACCCCCATGGAGACTTGTGGATTGACCTCCATATCCAGCAAATGCACACATGCTTGGATCAATCAAGTTTGGATCAAGTTCAAAATAGGCAGATTAATGGCCATTTTGTTTCAAAAAAATGCAGATTTTGATTTAAATATTTGACATGCCTGGATTGATCATGTTCTACCTTCACACAATATTAGACAAATGCTTTTTTGTTGCCATTCATTCTGACTCTTGGTTGTCTTTAAACAAATATCAAAGGTTTTGATATGTTATAGGTGTTCCCAATAAAACTCCACCATTAAATGCCCAACTTGCCATAAAACCTGATGATAAATTTCTCCACACCATCACCATATACCAGTATCGATGAAAACTGCTACTACTGTCAGGAAGTATCCAACTGATGCAACAGAAATGTCGCATAATCCCTTGAACCGTTGCCCTCGCTAGTCCAACTTCTTCGGCGATCGTTCACAAGAGGCGAATAATCTCCATCTGAGTGTCTTCGCCAGGGACTGTCATTGACAATGACTTGTTTCTGACCATACATTACTATTTTAGAAGTGTCATTTAATACATTTAATTTCAGTTGATACTAAACCAGCCTATTATTGACTCTAAATTATTAACTATGCTTTTGGTTGCATATTACTTTTATTTTTGGCATAAATAACATTTCCACTAATTCCAATGGGGATCATGTCATTAACAATAACTTGTTAATTTTTAATATGTCTCCCATACTCTAAGCACATAGACGTTCTTTCTAAACAGAAATCCCATTTGTCAGTGCCAAGTTTGCTTAGAAGTTGCCCACTTTCTGGATCATTACTAATTTATGTGTCCATACATGGATATTATGCAGTGGAATGATATTAGAAACATTTAATGTTATGTGCAATTGAGGTAAACATTCTAAAAAGTTAATTATATAAATACTAATACCATTCTATCGTATGATTTCAGATTCCACAAATACCACCTCGTGGTATACAGTTAGCAGCCATGTTCATGCGAGGTGTTGAGGCAGCGTTGACGGCTAATGATGCCTGTGGGGCACCTGTTCCATGGAGTAATTGCTGTCCTTGGCTTTACTTTGATGGCAAATTATTTCAGTATAAATTATATAGAGGCAGTCAGTGTAAGAATCTGAAGGAGGTCTGTGACAACCAGGTGAGTATACTGACACTATTTGTAAACATGAGGGCTGTATACATAGCAACCAGGTGAGTGTACTGGCACTGTGTGTAAACATGAGGGCTGTATACATAGCAACCAGGTGAGTGTACTGGCGCTGTGTGTAAATATGAGGGCTGTATACATAGCAACCAGGTGAGCATATTGACACTGTAAATATGAGGGCTGTATACATAGAAACCAGGTGAGTATACTGGCACTGTTTGTAAACATGAGGGCTGTATACATAGCAACCAGGTGAGTATACTGGCACTGTTTGTAAACATGAGGGCTGTATACATAGCAACCAGGTGAGTATACTGGCACTGTTTGTAAACATGAGGGGCTGTATACATAACAACCAGGTGAGTATGCTGACACTGTGTGTAAACATGAGGGCTGTATACATAGCAACCAGGTGAGTGTACTGGCGCTGTGTGTAAATATGAGGGCTGTATACATAGCAACCAGGTGAGCATATTGACACTGTAAATATGAGGGCTGTATACATAACAACCAGGTGAGTATACTGGCACTGTTTGTAAACATGAGGGCTGTATACATAGCAACCAGGTGAGTATACTGGCACTGTTTGTAAACATGAGGGCTGTATACATAGCAACCAGGTGAGCATATTGGCACTGTTTGTAAATATGAGGGCTGTATACATAGCAACCAGGTGAGTATACTGGCACTGTTTGTAAACATGAGGGGCTGTATACATAACAACCAGGTGAGTATGCTGACACTGTGTAAACATGAGGGCTGTATACACAACAACCAGGTGAGTATGCTGGAACTGTGTGTAAACATGAGGGCTGTATACATAACAACCAGGTGAGTATGCTGGCACTGTGTGTAAACATGAGGGCTGTATACATAACAACCAGGTGAGTATGCTGACACTGTGTGTAAACATGAGGGCTGTATACACAACAACCAGGTGAGTATGCTGGCACTGTGTGTAAACATGAGGGCTGTATACATAACAACCAGGTGAGTATGCTGGCACTGTGTGTAAACATGAGGGCTGTATACATAACAACCAGGTGAGTATGCTGGCACTGTGTGTAAACATGAGGACTGTATATATAACAACCAGGTGAATATACTGACACTGTGTGTAAACGTGAGGGCTGTATACATAACAACCAGGTGAGTATGCTGGCACTGTGTGTAAACGTGAGGGCTGTATACATAACAACCAGGTGAGTATGCTGGCACTGTGTGTAAACATGAGGACTGTATACATAACAACCAGGTGAGTATGCTGACACTGTGTGTAAACATGAGGGCTGTATACATAACAACCAGGTGAGTATACTGACACTGTGTGTAAACATGAGGGCAGTATACATAACAACCAGGTGAGTATACTGACACTGTGTGTAAACATGAGGACTGTATACATAACAACCAGGTATGTATGCTGGTACTCTGTAAACATGAGGGCTGTATACATAACAATCAGGTGAGTATGCTTGACACTGTGTGTAAACATGAGGGCTGTATACATAACAACCAGGTGAGTATGGTGGCACTGTTTGTAAACATGAGGGCTGTATACTTAACAACCAGGTGAGTATACTGGCACTGTGTGTAAACATGAGGGCAGTATACATAACAACCAGGTGAGTATACTGGCACTGTGTGTAAACATGAGGGCAGTATACATAACAACCAGGTGAGTATACTGACACTGTGTGTAAACATGAGGGCAGTATACATAACAACCAGTTGAGTATGCTGGTACTGTGTCCAAACATGTGGGCTGTATACATAACAACCAGGTGAGTATGGTGGCACTGTTTGTAAACATGAGGGCTGTATACTTAACAACCAGGTGAGTATGGTGGCACTGTTTATAAACATGAGGGCTGTATACATAACCAGGCGAGTATGGTGGCACTGTTTATAAACATGAGGGCTGTATACTTAACAACCAGGTGAGTATGCTGGCACTGTGTGTAAACATGAGGGCTGTATACATAACAACCAGTTGAGTATGCTGGCACTGTGTGTAAACATGAGGACTGTATACATAACAACCAGGTGAGTATACTGACACTGTGTGTAAACATGAGGGCTGTATACATAACAACCAGGTGAGTATACTGACACTGTGTGTAAACATGAGGACTGTATACATAACAACCAGGTGAGTATGGTGGCACTGTGTGTAAACATGAGGGCTGTATACATAACCAGGTGAGTATGGTGGCACTGTTTATAAACATGAGGGCTGTATACATAACCAGGCGAGTATGGTGGCACTGTTTATAAACATGAGGGCTGTATACTTAACAACCAGGTGAGTATGCTGGCACTGTGTGTAAACATGAGGACTGTATACTTAACAACCAGGTGAGTATGCTGGCACTGTGTAAACATGAGGACTGTATACTTAACAACCAGGTGAGTATACTGACACTGTGTGTAAACATGAGGGCTGTATACATAACAACCAGGTGAGTATGCTGGCACTGTGTAAACATGAGGACTGTATACTTAACAACCAGGTGAGTATGCTGGCACTGTGTGTAAACATGAGGACTGTATACATAACAACCAGGTGAGTATGGTGGCACTGTTTGTAAACATGAGGGCTGTATACTTAACAACCAGGTGAGTATGGTGGCACTGTTTATAAACATGAGGGCTGTATACTTAACAACCAGGTGAGTATACTGGCACTGTTTATAAACATGAGGGCTGTATACATAACAACCAGGCGAGTATGGTGGCACTGTTTATAAACATGAGGGCTGTATACATAACAACCAGGTGAGTATATTGACACTGTTTATAAACATGAGGGCTGTATACTTAACAACCAGGTGAGTATACTGACACTGTGTGTAACCATGAGGGCTGTATACATAACAACCAGGTATGTATGCTGGTACTCTGTAAACATGTATTTGCAATCTGTCTGCAATTTTCAGCTCTTACAATCAGTTCAAGAAGCTAGAAAAGTCTACTTCTGCACAGAATTGAAACTTACTTCCCTCTATGCAATTTAAGTAAGTCCCAATTATAAATAAATAAAATAATAAAATCTTGTTTATAGATGGATCAAGTTGGTAAAGTGGAGCGTATGCGTCAGGTGATAATGGAGGGAATATCTGATAATTTAATATTTGCAAAGCCATCATTGCCAAAGATGATGAACAGTTCTCCCTATGGTTATCCAATATATCCACCTAGTTACAGACCAGCTGGTTCAATGCCTCAGCCTAGACCTCGTAGTATGCCAGGTAGGGAATCAAATACCTTGTGTCATTTCATCATGTTCATCTGAGTGGGGTCAAGTGAATAGTTTTATTGATGCTGAACTTTGTTATATACATATTTTGTTCGTAATATACCCTGGCATGTTGGTCAATGCTATTTCAAATGATATACTAAAAATGGGAAATTCTTGCTGCTTGTGTATGTATTAATTATCTAAGAATTGCATCTTTGAATTAATTTTGTTTTGAAGGTAAACCTGTAAATAATCGTGGGGGGAAATTGGAGATAGCCGGTGTGGTGGTTAGTGAGTGGGCTGGTAGCAGGTCCAATATGGGAAGAGGTCATGTGGCACCTGGCTATGTGACTGGACATCGAAGGTAAGTATATGCAATTTACACTGGCCTGTATGGGAATCAGAATTGGTTCTAATCTAAAACAGGGACTTGTTTTTGGATTTGGCTGTTTGTGTTGTCATTCTTGGACATACCTTAACAAGCCGTTATGGGAGATATAACAGGGGATTTGAGAAAAATTGACTGGCAGACATTTTAGTTAAAAAAAAAAAAAAATGAAAACATTATGTGTCAACATTTGCACTTCTCAGACATGCCAAGACCAATTTCATTCAAAGTGTTGGTGGGATTCAAAAGGCCTCTGTCATTTAGGACAACATATATTATTAATTTTAACTATTTTTACCTGCCTTTGCATACAAGTTCAGTCCCTAGCTAAAGACCCTAATTCTTTTGATGTTATAATTGAAAATTCACAAATGCATTTAAATTTTATTTCAGGGGAGGATATGGAATTGTATCGAGTGGTGCTGTGAGAGGTCGTACACGAGGTGGTCAAGCTGGAGCAGTTGGTAGAGGGAGAGGTAATAACTATTCCAGACATGGTGCTAAAACTGTCACTCTTTTGGGTAACCAAGATGCTGCTAATAAAGTAAGTATTCAAACATTATCTCTGCTCTGGATGCAATTATCTTGTCCAATTCAAAATCGCTATTTTAATGATAAAACATAGTTAAACTACATGTGGCTTGCCCTGTATATTTAAGGATGGGTAGATCATATCATAGGGGTAGGGATTTCATTACATTGTAAGGCAGATCATAGTATAAGGTGGGAAAGATCATCTATACATGTCTCACCCATGGCTTTGCCATGTCTTGCCCATGGCAAGACGGTGGCGTGCCACTCAAAAGAGCGAGTCCAAGTTAAATACCAATATTTCTTGGCACAACAAAACAGAAAACATCACTTCAACGTGGTTACATGAGTTTTGATTAAATAATAAGTTCAAAATTGTCAGATTGAATTATATTCTCGGGTGATCTCAATCTCCCCAGACCCGATCGTTTTGTGGGTTAAAATCTGTACATATTAATTACCTAATTTGCATAATTAATCAATTTTAAGCTTTCACACTGGTATCTGAAGTACTAATTATTCCAATTCACTACGTTCAATTACCCACCATAGACTCCGGTCAGTCAAAATGACTATTTTGACCTGTAGGCATTAATCAGCGATTCTGCCGGTGACTGAGAGATAGAATCTAGGTCAGGGGAAGCCCCATGACCTCAAGATTCTTTTACCCCTTACGTCACGAACCCACGTGACTGAGGCCACATGGCAGCGCCATAGGTAGCCTTCAATCACTCTGATTTTTTTCTTCGCCTGGAGTGGAGATGAAATCTAGCGAGCTCTGCTGGATCGCCTGCTTTTTTTTCCCTGTCCGGGTTTCTAGCTTTGGTTGTTGCCGCTGCACGGCATCCAACATTGTAGCTGGTAGGATAGGTTTTCCTTGTCATTTTTACCCTCGTTTTCCCCTTTGTGTGTAGTATTTTTCACAACAAAGAAATTAAAACCAGGTGCCTCTACGTAACCACTTGTTGGTTTCGCAGCGGAACCTTTTACAACTGTATTTCGTTTTTTTCCCTCATGCATGTCATCTTTTATTTTCAATGTATTTAGCAATGTATAGATGTAATAACAGCACCAGGGCTCGCTGCCGTTTTTGGTCTCCTCGTGTTTCGAGTCGACTGTGCAGTGGTTATATTCAGAATTTACCAGCATAGAACCTGTATCCGAGATACTTGTCGTAGCTGCTTGCAGGGTTCGGGGTTTCTGCGTGAAGGTGTGTGTTTTTCACTGGAGTTCTTGGGCCTGAGATTTTCTTTCAGAACCATCAAAATCGCTGAAACTGACCGCGTCTCAGCAAGGTAGCGCGTCCAGTAAACAAATGGGTTAAAGTGAGTTGCGTGTTTGGCATGAATGGAAAGTCCTCCTACTCAAGTTCCCGGAACACGAAGCACCGGTTACTTCTAAGATTGCAACAATTTTTACACGGTGATCACGATCAACACAGAACTGCCATTGAATGTATTTTTCCACTCTAAAGTTATTTGGTGTCATCGCACATGCGTAGTTTAGTCGGCATGCATTTCAAGATACCCCGCGACATTACTCTCAGTATGGGACGGTTTCATGTTGCCCTGATCAAACGCGTGATTTTTGACTCCCATGTGCGAAGCACATAATGGGAGTCTTTGCAGTTAGTGTGTGTGTGTATGTGTGTCCGACTGTTCCACTGCTATCTCAAGAACCATACATCGGTTTTTGATGAAACTTGGTGCATAGATGCTCTGGGCCAATGCCCAGATTTGATTAGGTTTTGGTAAAAATCCATGCTCGTTAATTATCTAATTTGCATGATAATTAGCTAATTTTTAGCTGTTCTATGACTGTTCCACTGATATCTAAAGAACAACTCATTGGATTTTGATGAAACTTGGTACATAGATGCTCTGAACATATGCGCAGATTTGATTAGTTTTTGGTAAAAATCGGTGCATATTAATTATCTAATTTGCATGTTAATTAGCTGATTTTTAGCTGTTCCATGATTGTTCCACTGATATCTAAACAACCATGCATTGGATTTTGATGAAACTTTGTACATACATGCTCTGAACTAATGCTAGGTTTTGATTAGTTTTTGGTAAAAATCGGTGCATATTAATTATCTAATTTGCATGTTAATTAGCTGATTTTTAGCTGTTCCATGATTGTTCCACTGATATCTAAACAACCATGCATTGGATTTTGATGAAACTTTGTACATACATGCTCTGAACTAATGCTAGGTTTTGATTAGTTTTTGGTATAATCCGTGGATACTAATTACCTAATTTGCATAATGATAGTCAATTTCGTTTT